GACCCTTGTTTGAAATACAGATATTGCTATAAATGGAAATGTAAACCAAATAAAATCAAATAGTATTTAAAATGTTACGTGTTTACAATAGGTTAAATAAAATAAAATACTGTATGAATAAATATTTGGAAGAGTTACGTTAAAAGCAAAATGTTACTTTGAAATGTAAATGAATAATTAATGAAATAAATTATAATTTAATATTAAGATAATATTAAAACAAATAAATAATTACATATTTACTTAATAATCTATTAATTAATTTACTAAAGTAAACTAAAACAATACGGCTGTAGGTAAAAATTTTTGCAAGTGTACATACGGAAGTTGCACGTGGTATGAATGTTTATTGTATTTTATTGTATATAGTTGAACGAACAGTGCGAATGTATATTATCAAAATGGTATACGTGATATATTTGTAATATTCATGTGTAGAAAAGTATCAAATGAATATGACAGAAAGTTATAGAAAACAGATATGCATAATATATGAATAAATAAATGATGTAAACGATTAACTAACATTAACTAACTTTTTGAAAATACACTCAACAAATCGTATTTATTTAGAACATGTCAACGATGTCAATATTAAATATCAAATAGTGGGGCCAGCGATATTGTTTTAGTAAGTCGGGTAAAAAATTGCGCATTAACCGGTTGAAATTTGTCTAACGTCGAACGATACTCGTATCGTTGTTGTGCGCGTTAACGACTTGAATCTTCATGCATATTTTATCTCTATAAACTTCTCTCATATTCATTTGATACTTTTTTACACATGTCACGTATATCCATTTTGATAATACACATCCATACTGTTCGTTCAACTAAATACAATATAACGGTAACCAGAAAAAAAGCATTCAGGAAAAATGTCTTCAGAAAAAATATCTTCAGTAAAAATATCTTCATTCAAAAAGGTCTTCCAGAAAAAATGCCTTCAAGAAAAAAAGTCTTCAAGAAAAAAAGTCTTCCAGAAAAAAATCCAACGATACTATTTTATTTTTAAAATATTCATACATACAAAAATGAAATTACATTTTTACATAAAAAATTTGTTACAATAAAAATTAATAAAAATCATAATAACTTTATTATGTTCTTTGTGTATTAATATTATCTGAGAGGTTTATTGGAATGGATTATAGGGTTGTTAAAGCGTTAAAGCATGTGCCAAAAACGGTTCTAGGACAATTACCCCCCGGACAAATACCCCCCGGACAATTACCCCCCGGACAAATACCCCCCACGCAAATAACTCCCTGGACAAAAAACCCCCCGGACAATTACCCCCCGGACAAAAAACTCCCCAAACAATATACCCCCGGACAAATACCCCCCCACGCAAATAATCGCCCGGACAAATACCCCCAAAACAAAATACCCCCAGGACAATTACTCCCCGGACAATTTTTGTTTTCAAATTATGATTTATATTATTATTAATATTAACAGACAATACGAGACGAGATAGAATGCAATTACTTATTAATTTATAATTATTGTAATGATCATCAGATACACTTTTAAATACAGACAGCCAAAAAACACAAATCGTTGATGATAAAGAATTAAACATTATGCAAAAGACCATAAACATATAATTAAGTAAATTGGTTCTCAAGCTTTCTAGCGCAAATTGGCATGTAAATTTAGAACAATCAATGATGATTGATGATGAGAAAGCAATTCGCATGCATTTAATCAATAGTGTAATTTAAATTTAAAAAAAAAATAGAATTTTATTTCAAGGTTTCTTTGTGTATTAATATCATATAAAAAGTTTATTGGCATGGACTTTAAAGTTGTAAAAATTTTAATCGTTATTTTATTCTGTTACTATGGAAATTATTGAAAATAATAAAGGAAGTCAGAAGTTGTGTTTGGAAGGGTATATGTATACAAAAAAATTGAGTAGAGGAGCAACGATTCGTTGACAATGCTCTAGAAAAACATTTTTCAACTGTTTAGGAGCAATTTCAACAAACATTGAGGTAAATAATCAATATATCTTTTTATTTGTTAATCTGATATATAAATACAAATTCATTTCAATATATATATATTGTCTTTACTAAATTATATAATTAGATTACTGAAATAAAGTGTCAAAAAGAACACAACCATGTTTCAGAACCCGAAAAATTGCAAAAGCGAAGGTTTTGAATGAAATGAAAAAGACTGCTATACTATCTTCTACGGCCAAACCGAGCCAAATATATGCAGATGCTTTATCGGGGTTAGATGAAGAAGACAGAGCAAATGTAGGCCATAAAGATCACGTGACAAAAACAATTAGAAACCAACGCCGCAAAAATATTCCAATTGAACCATCCAATAAAGAATTCGAAATACCAAAAGCTTGGCAGATGAGAGAAGGCAACGAAAATGTCATCATCTACGACAGTGGAGCCAATCCATTCAACCGGATAATTGTTTTTTCGACATTCGTGCAATTACAACAAATGGGAAGAAGTACTAGGTAGTTACATTTTATTTATTTAGGAAGAATGCGGCTTATTAAATTAATTAGTTACTTCGAAATTGAAGTTCCATCTGTAATTAAACCACTTCGCTTATTTTTGATATATATTAACTATTATATATTTGCAGATGGTTTATGGATGGTAATTTTAGCTTGTCTCCAAATATTTTTCACCAACTGTACTTTATTAGAGTTGCCTATCTTAACCATTATGTAACATGCGCCTATGCCCTAATGACATCAAGAAATCAGGCGTCATATGAAGAAGTTTTTAGGGCAATTAAAGATAAGGCGCAAGAACACAACATAATTTTGGCTCCAACCACTGTTATGTTAGACTTCGAAATTGCCCCCAGACGTGCCTTACATGATATCTTCGGTGCAAACGTAGAAGTTGTAGGATGTTTTTTCCATTTGACACAGTCAACATGGAGAAAGGTATAGTTGCATGCTTTGTTAACTATTTTTAATCAATTGTCATTTTGCCAGTTTGAATGAAATTTTGCTATGGATTTTTTATTTTTTATTTATTTGGTATCTCAAATTCAGATAGCAGAGCTAGGTCTAACAACCATTTACAAAGAGAGGGATGATGTTAGACATTTTGTTGGCATGCTAGATGGCATTGCTTTCTTGCCAATAAACCGTTTGTATGATGCCCTCCAACACCTAGAAAGGAATATTCCAGATGTACCCGGACTAGAAAATCTTTTCATTTCGATAAAACATATGGTAGAGGGCCCTTCAGGAACAACAACAATAATAATATCAACCAAATTAGGTTGATCCGAATGCCTGCTCTATTTCCGCCCGAAACATGGAACGTTTTTACGATAACATTAAATGGTCATGAAAGAACTAATAACGTTTGTGAAGGTTGGAATAATAGTTTCCACAATTTAATTGGCCATTTTAATCCATCGTTATGGACTTTAATCAGTGCCATCAAAAAAGATCAAACATCTGCTCTAACATCTATTGGTCAAATTGACCGAGGAATTCAAATAAATAAGCCGAGAAAACGACAGTCAAAATATTTCCAAGAAAGAATGGAACGATTGTGCAAAGACGTTAGAGATGGCCGAAGATCTACATTGGAGGCTTTAAGAGCCATAGGACACTGTATTGTGTTAAATAGGAAAAATTTACCAATGATTTAAGTGTATTTTATGCGATAGACATTTATAGAGATATTTTTTATTTGTCATTGACCTCTAAACATAATTTTTAAAATGTTTTTGAAGGTAATTTCGTTGAATAAATTTTTTTTTAAAGACTTTTTTCTTGAAGACTTTTTTTCTTGAAGACTTTTTTTCTTAAAGACATTTTTTCTTGAAGACGTTTTTTCTTGAAGACATTTTTTCTTGAAGACATTTTTTCTTGAAGACATTTTTTCTTGAAAACTTTTTTTCCGAAGATATTTTTTCTGAAGAATTTTTTTTCCTGAAGACTTTTTTTCAGGGATTCCAATATAACTGCATACCGTGTGCAAATTTCATATATACATTGGTTTTATCTTTTTATTGTTTTAGTTTATTTTAATTATTTTAAGTAAATATGTATTAATTTATTTATTTTAAAATTCTTTTAATATTAAATTATAATTTATTCCAATAATTATTCATTTTCATTTCAAGGTAACATTTTGCTTATAACGTAACTCTTCCAATTATTTATTCATATAGTATTTTATTTAACCTATTTTAAACACATAATGTATTAAATAATATTTTATTTGGTTACCATTTCTATTTATAGAAACAGTTGTATTTCACCCAAGGCTCTGAAGGTGGTGTTCAAATTATATCACTTGTTCTAAATAAATACGATTTACAACCATTTCATGATGTTGAGTGTATTTTCAAAAAGTTAATTAAAGCTAAGTGGGCAAAAAAGTTCAATGAAATTTGGATAGCGGAAGACCTCGTCACCAAATATATCAAAGAAAAATATAAATAAATATAAATAATATATATACTATCTATCTATATATATATAGTGTATATATAAAGGGTTCGAATTGATGGGGGTTTGGGGGTTTTACCCTCCTACCTCTAAAAGACCCTCCACCTTTCATTTAATTTTAAGAAATTTACAATTTTGTTATTATTAGATCGTATTGCTGATTTATATAGCCCTTCTTGTGAGTTATCTTCAGAATTGCTTTTTTTTAGATTAGATTATACTTGTCACATTTATGCATTATTATTCGGTGATATGTTTATTGTTCACCATTTTACTAATATTTGTTTTTAATTGTAACTTAAATCCACTTTTCGTTTATGCTTTCGTGACGGATGTTTGTGTCTGTTATATACCGTATACGGCAGCGCGTGCGAATGCTTTTTAATTACGTATATTTTATAAAAAGTTTCGGAATACGAACTATTTCCTATATTATAAGATTAATTTGAGCTAAGAAGAAAATAAAACGAAGTTTAAAAAAAAATTTGATGGCACTATTTATAAAACTGATTCATCTTCAAATATTTTAAATCTTTTTAACAAAATGAAAGAGAGGACTTCTGAAGACTCTAAAAGTCTAAATGTAAAAGTAAAGATAACTAAATTAAAATTGGTTGTGTTTAACCTGCTATTTATTATTTTTAACTTAAATTTAATTATTTTTCAGCGATGGAAAATACTGATTCAGAAGTAGAGTCTGCTGCACATTTACCAACTTTTGTCAATGTCTCAAGTTTGGTGGAATCAATTGAGGGCATATGTAATGAAGAAAACATTGTTGAAAAACAGTTTCAGCAGCCATCAGATTCAACAGAGAATGTAAACCAGAAACAAAACAGATGCTCTGGTTTTCCAAAAGTGTGCAGAAATAAACTTTAAAGCTTGGCAAAAGTCACGGCAATGGCTCATGATGAGTTCAACTGGGTCGGTTATGTGCAGTATTTGTGTAGAAGTAAAGTCTTCTACACCAGCAAGTGATGTGACACCTGGTTGTCGTAAAGACAGGGCTTTCATTGATGGCGGAACTGTTGGCGGAAAAACTGCCAAAAAATTGATAAACACCAACAATCAAAATGCCACAATGATGCTTGTAAAACAATTTCACTGAAAAAAATGCAGATATAGAACATTCCATAAACAAATCAAAGGCAAATGAAAAGAGAAACAAAATCAAGAGAACATTGAAGCAACAGAAAAACTTTTTCGAATAGCATATGAATGTGCATCTTCTCATATTGCTTTTTCAGAACATCTCCGTTTAGTCCCACTTCAGTTGTTGAATGGTGTAGAATGTGGAAATATACTCTATTCAGATCACAGTTGTTCAAATTTATTAATGATTAGCATAAATGGTCCTCCATTGGAATTATGGAATCCTAAGAAATATATGATATATTGGCTGAAAAATGGGTGCGTTGGATAAAGCTACTGGTATTAAAAAAAAGAAACCGTTTTGGATCATTCTGATAAATTGTTTTTATTGTAGTATTTGTTTTGAGAAAAAATTAAAGGAAAATGTCTCGGATCATTATGCTAAATTGTTTTATTGAAATTTTTTTATTAATAGTAGTTTTAGTTTTGATAATAATTTGTGAATTTGAATCAAAATGACAAAAATGAGATGGTTCTTGAACAAGATGAAATCAAGCTACAGAGGAGAAAATACTTCAACGGTCTGTTTTATGAAACAAATTTCAGAAATTTCAACTTTGACGCTCCACCCATCGAAGGTCCGATTCCAGACATCAATGTAGAGGAGCTTACAGAAACTTTGACCGCTAGAAAGGATGGAAAAGCAGCAGGGCCCTCTGGACTCACAAATGACATTATCAAAGCATCTGGTACTGCAGGTATCCAAACGTTACTACAACTTTGCCGTGAAGTGTGGAGAAATTGCTCAATGCCGACTGAATGGAACTATAGCATGACACTTCCGCTATACAAAGGCAAAGGTGATCCATTGAACTGTTCATCATATCGGGGTATACGTCTGTTAGATCACTCTCTGAAAATTGTCGAGAAAATCATTGAGAGAAGATTAACGTCGTGTATCATGATCGGAAATTATCAATTTGGTTTCCTAGCGGGGAAATCAACAATTGATGCAATTCACATCCTTCGGCAACTGCAAGAGAAGAACCTCGCAAAGCATCAACAACTATCACACATTTTTGTAGACCTTGAAAAAGCATTTGATCGAGTTCCCCGTCAAGCAATCAGGTGGAGTCTACGTCGACAACTCATTCTAGAATATCTTGTTCGACTTGTGATAGAAATGTATACGAATACTAAGACAGCACAACGGTTGGAAACACAGATGCATTTGACATCGGCGTTGGAGTTCACCAAGGCTCGATTCTCAGACCACTGTTATTTGTCACTGTGATGGAAAAAATCACAAAGCCGATACGCACTGGTGACATTTGGAATCTAATAAATGCTGATGATATCTTTTTTTAACAGCCACGTCTGAGCAGAATGCAGCACAGATGTTTGAAGATTGGAACACCAGATTGGCCGATCATGGATTCAAAGTCCCATCCAATCCACAGCTACTGGACGATGGCCCTGTTCAGTTTGTAAAATTTGTGTAGGTAACAATTCAATCAAGTGTCAGAAGTATAATCAGTGGTGTCACAAACGTTGTTCAAAATAATTGGTATTTTATCTAAAGTGTCCAATTTTGTTTGTCAATCAAAATTGCAAACAATCGAGCAAGACATGAAAGCTCTAAATTTAAATGAAATGGATACAACTGATCGTCTAATTTGGCGCAAAAAGTTTATGGCAAAGAAAACAACGTCCTACCTCGGGAAACCGGGTCTCTGGACGCAAAACGAAGATTATATATAGATATATTATTTAGATAATATATTAGAAGAAAAAATTATTGATAATAAACATAGAGATGATCAGATGACAATTTTTTAAATGAACGAATTAAGGAATTAAAAGCTAAGCTAAGTCTGAATGATAACTTTAAGCTGCAAGACGTTGAAAAAAAATTTATTCTGGAAAAATTCAACAAAAAGCAAAACCCTACTGAATGGATAGAGAAATTTGAAAATGAATGTAGAAGGCATAAAATACTGAATCCTACTAATGTCATAGAAGCATTACGCTTTTTTTTATCTGGGTCACCGGAAGATTGGTACGAATCAAATTTAAAAAAGATCGGCTTAACTAATTGGTCAGAATGGAAAAAATCCTTTCTGACCATTTTTGCAGATAGAGGTTGGAAAAAAATAAGAACCGCATATAATTACAAATATTTAGGTGGTTCTTTAATAGACTATGCCTTAGCGAAAGAAAACCTATGTTTAGAAATTGAAATGTCGAAGATAAACATGATCGTTATGGGCTTTTCCTGTAGAAATACAAAACCAGCTTAATAGAGAAAGAAATACGAACATTGAAAAAACGTTCAAAAGAACAACAAAAAATTGATGAATGTGTTTTAACATCAAGCCCAAATATTAAAATAAAATTTTAAGTAATGGAAATATCATAAATACGGGATGTCAAGACAAAGCAACTTTATCAAATGGAAAATGAAAAGAAAGTGGACATCATCCATCTTGAATGCAAGCTATTCAAAAACGCAATAAAATACTGCAATAATTTGATTGGTCGTGAATTTGTTGTTTGTAGGACCACCAAATCTCTAGAGAATCAAAAAACTTAAAGAGAAACAGATGAAATATTGGGCGATTTAGTGCACTATTTGTCTCACTTCAACTTTAAAATTATTTATAAGAAAGGAAAGGAAAATATAATGGCTGATTTACTTTCTTGATCACCAGTATTAGAATATTTTGAAAATGAGGATGCAGTCCAAGTTGTAAATTTAATTAAAAGACCTGAAATTCTTCAGGATCAAAATGATAACATGACTGAATTAAAGAATGCCAAGAAGATTGAAAAACGCCATGGTATTATTTACAAAAAATTGAAGGACAAATCAAGAATATTTGTTTCTGATAAATTTGGTTTAAGAATAATAAAAAAGGTACACGAATATTATGGACATATTGAAGCTGGAACATTGAAAGAGAAAATAAGACCATTTTATTATTTCAAAAACTTTGACCAACTAATTGAAGAATTTTGTAAAAGTTGCACTATATGCTTATTGAACAAAACTAGAAGAAATAGAATCATCGGATTAATGTCAAAACTAGGACCCGCGACAGAACCATTCCAAATTATGTCCATTGACACAGTTGGTGGATTTGCCGGTAATATGTCACCAAAGAAATATATGCATATTTTGGTAGATCATTTTAGTAGATATGCTTGGATCTCCACTACAAAAAGTCAATGCGCAGCAGATTTCATAAAGTTAATTGATCCGATTGCTAAGAAAAATAATATTAAAATACTTTTAGCCGACCAGTACACCGGAATTAATTCTACAGAACTATAGCAGTATCTAAACAAGATGAATATTCAAGTGGTTTTTACATGCGTAGATTGCCCTCAATCAAATGGACTAAATGAAAGACTAAACCAAACACTTGTAAACAGAATAAGATGTAAACTTAACAGTGAAAAAAACAGGCATGGTCCGTTATTGCAGACGAATGTGTCAAAGAATACAATCGGACAATTCATAGTTCCACGAAATTTGAACCTGAATACTTATTATACGGCATAAAGTCAACTATCATTCCATATGACGTACTTGAAAGCGATTTAGCTGCAGATAGAATACAAGCCGGTCGAAATTCTATGCAAAATTTTGAAATAAACAAGAAAAGGGTTGACAAAAATCGTCAAGAGTACGAATTTGAAGTGGGCAATCAAGTCTATATCCAGAATGGGAGTAAACTTAATAGGGGTAAAATGGACAGAATAAGAGTTGGTCCGTTTAAAATTCTTAGCAAGATTTCACCGTCGATCTTCGAAGTAGACTGCGGAAAGAAGAAGAAGGAATCACATTTTTTTCACATTAATAAATGTGAAAAAAATTTCACTTTATGTACCTCAAAAAGTGACTTGAGGGAGAGAGATGTAAATTATATTTCATATAATTATCTATGTATTTCTATTCTGTGCTTGTAAATTAGGTTTCATTGCTTTGGTATCATCTTATATATAAATGCAAATAGCAAGTGGTTATATTTTATAATTGGACGTAGTTCTATTTTATTATTGTTGGCTTTGTAAACGATCCTGG